AGCAATAAAGCTTTTTTTCATTGAATTATTTAAGAACTTTGACATTTTAACTCGTAGGACAAATAAAACGTTTAAAGTGCTAAAGTGGAAACGTTGATACACTACATACATACATTTACACATACAACTCTAATTCTATTGTTTTCATTATATATTGTATTTTTCTATTTTATTTGGTTATTTAATATATCTTTTCTTTCTTATCTGCTGAGTTTTATCTGCAGCTGCTGTAACAAGTGAGTTTCCAGTGTGGGATCAATAAAGTCTATCTTATCTTCTCTTACATGAAATGAAAGCAGGAATCTTCAGTCAGCCCTCATATCTCAGACTGGACACCAACATCATTAAAGGAGCAATAAGACTGACAGCAAGTGTTTAAAATGGGTACTGCAGTCCAAATTTAAAACATCGTAGCAGGTTGTCTCCCCCCAACCTCTCCTCCCCACACTAGAAGCTCACCTGGGTTGCCAGGTTGAGGACACTGAACCTACAGTTCAAGAGCTTCTCCCTCTGTGGATCATCAGATTTTATTTATCACGTACAAAGTATACGACTAAATAAATGGAACTAGTAATACTGAGATTAGTCAAAATAACAACAACAATACAATTTAGTAAACAAAGATTTCAGTTAGTTGTTATTATTAGTATAAAGATTCCAGTAATTCTCACCATAATGGTATTACAGTGTAACTCAGGGCAGTGCAATGTCTCTCTCAAAATACATTTAGTCAATAATACTCAGGTGTAGTCAACATGCAGCTCCGGGGCCACATGAGGCCCTCTATTGGCTCTCTGTGGCTATGACAAAGAATTATGTGTAAATGAATAACGGTGAACTTTTATAAAGTACATTAAGGTTGAAGGCCTAATGTGATTCTTACATTATCCTGTTGTAAAAATGTGTGGCCATTACTAACAAATGATAAAAATGTGACATTTCATTTCAGTAAGAAAAAGAAAAAAGAAAGAAAAGTCTTTGTGTGCAACATTTGGAGGAAGATAGAGAATTTAATACTGCATGGAGAGATTTTTGATAATACATTAGATTAGATTAGATTAGATTAGAATAGATTCAGCTTTATTGTCATTGCACAAGTACAGGTACTAGGCAACGAAATGAGTTAAGCATCTAACCAGAAGTGCAAAGCAGTAAAGTGCAGAGTAATGTGCATATATACAAAAATATGTAACAAAAATAAATAACATTATAGATATATATATATATGAATATACTAGCAGAATATTTACAGTTTGAACAGTATTAACAGAATGAAGGCAGTGAGGTGAATACACTAACATATATACAGCTATTAAGTTGATATTGCTCTGGACAGCCTCAGTGGTGGGGAGAGTAGAACCGGTGATTTGCTGGGCAGAGAGACACACACACACTTTAAAGGGGCCATTTTTCCTTCTTCATCTCTGCCTGTTGTTCAGTGCATTGTATCCAGATTTAACGCATTCTGTACTCTCTACTGTTCAAAAAAAGTGTAGAAACGTGTACAGACAGCAGTGACGGTCCTCTACCAGAAAAGACAGGAAAAACAAAAATGCAAACAGATAAAAATATTGTTGTATTTCATGTTGTGTTCGATAAACATCTGGACCCAAATAAAATACAGATTTAGAGTGAGGTTTGTAATATTTAAAAAAGGTGATAGCGGTGATGATGAGGGTTAAGAAAGAACTGAAGATAGCTGGCTGGCAGGTAGAAAGATGAGGTGTATCCTGAATATGGCAGGAATGCAGGGAGGATTAACTCCCATTGAAGACTGAACAATCTGGAAAACAACAGACGGAGCACTGGGGTGGATATATTGTTGGGTAGATGAGTTGATTGGAGGCAGGTAGGCAGACTGGGAGAGTTGATGAGTGGATTGCAGAAAGGTGTATGGAGCAGAGCTGGAAGGCAGGAGGGAAAACCACACCCACAACACAGACAGGAGACACAGGGGAGGGAGACACAAGGAAAAGGCAAGGTACAGCCATGGGGATGACATCTAAGCTGTTAAATTTGTAATAATTTCTATTCTGAGACAACAGGACGTTCCCTGAAGTTCATTATTAAACATTGTAATAAAACAGATAAATAAAATGTGTAATGATATTGTTAATATTGCACAATTAAGTGCTTAAGAGGCTGATATGAGTGTTTTAGAGGGCTCCCCATATACTGCAGTAGAACTGCCTCTACCCATTCTTCTTCACCTTCAATGAGTGTTTGTTTACTGCAAAGACTTTCTTTGTTTCTTTCAAAAATACAATTTAACTGTAATGTTTTCAATATTTAAACCTTTATCTGCGATACAGATATTACAAAAATACATTACAAAAATAATCATGGCCACTTTTTTGAGAATAAATAATGATTTACCTGCAATTAAGTTAGTAACTTGGCTGCATGCACTAAAATTAAGACCTGCAGTGCTAGCAACAAAATTACTTTATATAGGCTTTAATTGCAGAAATTATATATTATTAGAATAGTGCACTAATTTTAATGTTTTCTTCCCTTAATAACAAACCTGGGCAGGTTTTGAATTATGCGTTAGCTGTCATGTTGCGGTCGTTCGGCTGTGACATAGATTACAGTCATCAAAATAAAGAAAAATAACAATAAAAGAAAGAAAAAGAAAAACAGAAAAATATGTAATAATGCGGTCAGCAGTAGGATCCTTTCTTTTCAGTTTTAATTAATAGACAGGGGTCCACATGACACTAGTCCCCTCTTAGATAGCATAGAACAACATTCACAATCCAGTATGGATGAATAAGAAGAAACAAGCTAAATCAATCATATTTTTTGTGAAAAAATGTCAAGTAAATTGTCTCTTGCAACATTATATTTTAATGGTATTTGTAACAAAACAATAATGCTCAACTAATGTGAATTTCCTTACTAGTTTGTAGCATCAGATTGTATTAGATTAAAGGGCTATCCAGAAGGCAGGGCAGTAATAAGTACAACATTTTAAAGTAATTTAAAAAGAAAAAAAAACTGGATAAAATCAGGAATTAAATGAGCAGCAACATGATCCTTTCTTTTAAGTTTTAATTAATAAAAAGTCCCCACTTGTACTGTATAGAATGACAGGAGTCCCCTGTTGGATGGTAAATAATGACACAAGTCCCCTCTTAGATAGCATAGAACGACATTCACACTCCAGCATGGGGGGTGGGAATAAAAAAGAAATAAGCAAAATTCTTAGGAGAAAGTAATATCTAAACTAAACATAATATAATCTGTAGTGATGTTTTTTTTTGCCACCAGCAATGTTGTCATTGTAGCTTTTTGATGTGAAGTGTATTGTGAAATATAATGACAACCTATTATGACTTATTTTGGACATATATAAGTGAAGTCAGCTAAAGGATAGATTACCCCACAACCCACTGTTAGACCCCAGGCAGCTACTGTAGTCACTGGATAACATTTGTAGCTTAATTTACGTTATTATAAGTGCAGATGGTTTTGGTTGGACTGAAGTTCTTACCTGCATTGAACTGTCATTTGTTTTCCCTAATATTTACAATCTGTGGCACATGAAGTTGTACATTTATTGGTGAATAGAGAAGGCATATTAGAGGGTTGTCAATTGATGCAGGATGAGGAACTGGCCACTTTATAAATCTTTCCTCCTTCATTTTATAAAGGAGTATGGTCTAAACCTGCTCTATATATGAAATGCCCTGAGATAAGTTCTGTTATGATTTGGAACTAAATATAATTCAGTTAAATTCAATCTGTATTGTTAACTGAAATGTATCTTAAACTATACAGTCCAACTATACAGTAAGTATTGTTAACTGAAATGTATCTTAAACTGTACAGTCTAGTGCTTTAAATTGGCATTGAAATGGTAATGAGCTATTAGCAGCTCATCTCAAAATTTATTTAAAGTGCTTAAGACCCCCCACCACCACACACACTCCTAAACTGAGTTTCTCACTCTTTCTCTGTGTGTACAGACAGACCCCTTCTTTTCTTTGAGTATCTGTTGGTCACATACGCACAGACACAAAAATCTGAATTACAGTCAGTTTAAGTTAAGTTTAAGTTCTGTGTTAATGTCAAATTATATATAATAAATACAAATAAAATAAATAATAAGAAAATACATAATCAGATAAATTACAGTATGTTAGTTTAAGATATTGTCTCACCGCTGTGGACAAATGCTTGAACTGAAAAATAATGATTTAAGATGTAAGATTAGCAGGAAATGTCACCTAAGCATGCTTGGCCATGCAAATTTAAGTAGATCACAAGCATCTTACTAATGTACAAATATTCATCTGAGGTTACTTAGATGAATATTTCACTTATGTTACTTTCTTTGATGAAATTGAAATGATATAAGAAATTAGAGCCATAGTTTTTCAAAAGTCATAGCTGAGGTATTTATTCAAAAGGGATGACTTGAACAAAGGCAGTGATTGGAGCAGAAAGGCACCAGGCACACTACACGCGTAAGGCATAAAGTTAAGAGCTACTGCCATCTCTTTTGAAATTAGGAACAATATGCCTTTTGAAATAAATGATCGATCCAAATACTGAGGGTTTTTGTGTTTGAGTGTGAGTGCAAGAAACTAAGAGAGGTGTGAAGATAAGGCTACTTCCCTACCCCCCACACTTAATTTACATCTACATCTATGCAGAAGGACTTCAGGTGACAGTGTCACAGTCACAGTGAGACCTGATGTGAGGCCAGAATGTAGGACTGCTTAACAAGCTGACATTGGATCAGATCAGTAGAGCTGTAGTTTATGTTTTAGTTTTTACAAATGATTTAACTAAGTTTTGTTGCAATTGGTTATGTGTCGCCTAATTACAGAAAGGTGAATAACCATTTAATAGAGAGATAGACACTCAAACAGTC